TKKRWTAMAGTAAAAGTCRTAGTAACATACTAATCTTACTTTCCTCCTTTCCTTGTTCTTAATTTGCCAAAACTTAAGCTAAAAGTGCCAGTAAATTTTTTTGGTTGTTAACATCAGAACTGACGTTTTTACTGTTCTAATAAGTAATCTGAGTTGATGTGAATTGAAATTCGGACGAGGGTTTTATCTCATTTAACTCTGACGCTTGTTATAGGAATGACCACAGTCAAGTGTAACTTATGCTTTGTTCAATTTGTGTAAATAAATGATTGCATAGTCTTTTATGAATCAACTTGAACTCATCTGAACGTTCACTTATTGTGTCACTTTTCACTTCGCAGTCAAGATATCAACAAGTAATGAGAAATACCTTGGTAAAAGTTTCCTCATAACCTTGTGTATGAGAGATGTGGGAAAAGCTTCACCTTAAGCTCACTTCTTACATAACTGAACGAATAATTTTGGGGCAGAACGCTGAACTATTTAAACTTTTTTATTTTTATGTCACCAATTTGCAACCATTGCAAGATTTTTAACTGTTTTGTTGTTGCATTCTCTTAAAATGCCATAATGCTTTCTTTAGTTAAACAAATAAGCTATTGATCCTTCACAATATTGGCTATTTTTGAAAAAAAAAATCACTTGTTTTTGATGTTTATAGTTCACTGCGACTTTAAAAGGTCTTTATGGCTGATAATTATGTGTTTATAGAAAACTAGCATTTAATGTTGAAATTGATTAAAGCGTCGTTGAGCTTCAATTAATAACCATTGGTTAATTATTTTGGATCATGCACATTAAGCTGAATAAAAGACAGTCAATTAACTTTAAATAAACTCGTCTAAGTTAACTAAATTGTAAACAGGTGAACACATAACTGCGTGTCCACTAATAAAAAGTATCAACAAGTCTAAAAAAGGTGCTGCAAAATCGAGCAAACCAAAACAAAGCAATGAATGACTCCACTTCCTTGTGCAGAGGCAGGGCGATGAAATGAAACGCGGCGCCGCTCAACTGGCCACGTCCGCGCAAAGGCTGCTGGGAAATGGAGTCTTAAACGAAATGGAATTTTCCAACATATCTGTCTGGAGGAGAGAGTGGAAATTTACCCTGTGTTCCGCCCCCCGTTATGTGCGAAGCCGTATCTGTCTGTTTTGCAGGATGTTTTCTGAAAGTCACCCAATTCATATCCTTTTCACCTGACTTTTAAGGCTAAAATAAGGATAAAATTACTACCATAACTGTCAAGGACAGCATCATTTTTATTGCTATATTTTAATTATTATTGTATTTTGCTCTTCTTATTATAATAATGCTAATAATAGTGGGAAAAGGACTAGTATTTAATGTAACAAGTCTAATAGTGGGTTTTTACAGTTTTCAGTTGCATATTTTTAAAGACTGAGATGCAACAAGTGGCTATTGCATTCAATAGTAATTATTATTTTTGTTTAAATCAAACACCTACACCTATTTCATGTTCCTGTGTACCACATTTTTGTAGCTATCTGACAATTCCTGAAAAACATGAATATGTTGTAACACAAGGACCGCACAATTACTGGTTGTAGAAGTGTTTTAATATCTGTTGCTTCAAACTGAGAGCTATTTCCTCTGGTTCACAAGCCCTATAGTGTATTTCAACGAACTGTGCCAAGATGTAAAATAAAAAACATGTGCTGCTTATTATTTGCATGCAGAAATAAAAAAAGCAGATCTTATAAAGTTCAAACAGCTATGAAGCTTTATACTTTAATAAAACGTTATATGTTTGTTTCTGGACTTTTCCACGCAAGAAACTAAACCTGATTAAATGTCAGAATCCACCGTGCAAGGTGCAACAGCTCAGAGATAGATGTGCGCTTTTAATTATTTGGCAGGAGTTTGTGAAGGCAAAAACAGAGCTTATAATGCCATATTAATTTGCATCTAATGTTTCAGCATAGATGATAGTTTTAATTCATCCTAAAATTGATTTAGGAGTTATTTGACCAAACTAAACTCCCTGAGATGTCTGAAAAAAGCAGTTTGTTTTGAAGACCTGGTTTGGACTACATCCAATACGTGCGTGCCCTTCTTCTTTTATGTAAGTAAGCAGGTAGGTGAGTTAATTCCGTGGCGTGGCTGGTGATGTTATTTCACTGCATCTCGACACGTCACGAGTTTAYAACACGTGCGGGGCGTGGAATTGTAAAGGGTGCGTATAAGCAGCAGCAGGAGGAGGAGGAGGGTTGTCATCCGTGTCAGACGAACATCACAGGAGAAGAAGCGGAACACGGAGGAGGCAGCCGTATGTCCGGGTCACATCCACCTCTTTCGGCAAGAAAAGCTGCGTGAAACTGCGACACTTTTACCCGGAACGGACGGCTCCTCTAGAGGACTCTTCCTCGTCGCACTCGTCCGCTTTAAGGCGCGGAGTGGAGCGCTTTGCCCATTCATCCGGTGAGTGAGCTGAGCACGCTTCAGCCTTATCCCACTCGTTTGAAATGTTTAATTAAACWTCTATAGTGAGCACGAGAAGCTGTGTGTTCATTCATGGCAGCTACCTTGCTAAATGTCTTATCGGACTATTTCTTTCCGCGGATGAGGCTCTTAATTAGCACACTTAAAACGGACTGRTCTCGCCTACAGTGCTTATATCCGCACATGAATGACTAACGTAACAAATAATCTCCTAAACAGAGTTCTTCCTGTCTTATGAATGAGTGGCTGTTCTAGAAAATTCCTGCYACCTGATAGGTGCATCAGTGTGACGTCACCTCTTTGTTTTCTCGGCGGCATCCTCTAGCTTAGGGGTGCCCAAACATTTTCCCAGAGAGGGCCATAGGGGTGCCCAAACATTTTCCCAGAGAGGGCCAAAATTAAAATCAATCTGAGGGCCGTGGGCCAAATGCAATAATTTAAGAAATGCAAATACTTCTTAAGTAAAGTTGTTTTTGTTTATTTATTTATTTATTTGTTTATTTATTTGTTTATTTATTTGTTTGTTTGTTTATTTGTTTATTTATTTGATTAAGCAAGCAGCCAGTGTGGTTGTCCACACTTTTGTTTTCTTTTAGCCCATGGACATGGAGAAAATTCAACTTATGCTCAGGCAGCAAAGGCTCATGGGACTTTTCACAATTTAAAATTTAAGTATATGGGACCTTTTATAAGGTGTGCATATCTAGATATGGACTTTAATCTAAATGTCTCTTGTAGTTACTTGTATTTTATATTTAACATAATTACAATCTAGTAACCAGGACAACAGCTGGTGGGCCAAATCAAATGGCTTGGCGGGCCAACTTTGGCCCGCGGGCCCCACTTTGGGCACCTCTGCTTTAGCTGTATCTGTGCATTAATTAAAGCGTCGAGTTCCACGTCCTCATATCTTCTCAGCTTCAAAATGTCGCTCATTAAAATAAATAGGTTTCGAGCATTTCTAAACACTACCGAGAAGCTAGAGGTTGCTGGTTCGATCCCAGCCCAACCTCACTTTGTACTCCACGGAGTGACTGATAATTTGTCTCAATGCTTACTAGAAAAACAATAACAAAAAAAAAAGTGAAATTTCCTGTATGTCTGGTTTATTTTGGATTTGTTTGAGTTGCAGGTGCAAGCTTTTTGTTATCTGAAAACAAAGATTCACTGCAGGAAGGAGAACATTATGTTTAATTGCCCCTAAACCTGTTTTATGACTCAGCCTAACATACTGGGAATTTGCACCTTATGATCAAAATGTGTAAGATAAACATCTTGTTGCATGTAAACAAATGTAAGCACATATTAAGGGATTAAAAATGTAACTGGTTTTACTCTTCAAGAAAAGACTTGTAGGCTATGTACAAGTGTTATCTTTTAGCACTGCAGGAATACATCCGTTAGGGTTATTCCCACTGGTCACAGGTCAAGAAGCCCCAGTTGACAACACTTTCAGAGAGAGTAGGATGACTGCACTCATTTATTAAACTGTTGCTTCTGATTGGTTCTGTTAGAATTTGCACCGCCTCTAGTGAAATCAATAATCAATATGCATTTTAATCTGCCATTCAAGTGACTTTCCTGTACGCACATGGAAAAAAATAATCAAAGTAAACTCTAAATCTTTTTACATGTAAAAAGCAAAGCTCTCAACTCWGTTACTTTTGCTGAAGTGAGGGCTGTGCAGTAGGTCCTGGACTCCTGGCACATTTAGAAACCAGTTATTATGTTTTAATCCTGTAATATATAACTTTGCTAATGAAAATGTCAAACACATCTTCTAAATAACATTGCAGTATTTCAGTGCCAGAGTCCTGCGGTGAACACAGAGAGAGAACAGGCCTCAACGACTACGACTGGAAAAAAAAAAGCCACAACAACAAAGACTTCTTTTATAAAGAGATATTTATGCRTTGAGCATGATTGTGAAGGAAAAGACAGTTATTTTCTGTTATGTAGAAGGAAAAACATGAGAGAAGCCAAACATCTGTGTGTGTTTGTGAGAAATTGAGTGTGATGCTGAACAAAATAAATGTTCTCTCACAAATAATAATTTGTGCTGACTTTAGAATTTGGTCAATCAGACTTTTGTTATAAGTATTTGAGATATTTAACTCGTATGTAAAGAGAGGTCAAATAATTATACCTTAGGCCAGCGTTCCCCAAAGTTGGGATCAGGACCCAAAGTGGGGTCCCGAAACATCAAGGTGGGGTCCTGAAAAGATTTTCTGAATTAATTACGT